CAGGATGGGGCGGATGTAATCCTTGCCTTGGTCCTCAATTGCAGGGTCTGGTAACTGACTGGAAAAAGTAGGAAAAGAGTTTAAAAAAAAAAAAATCTTCAATATTAACACATTCATCCCTCTTGATCTGGAAGGAGTTCCAGGACATCCCTGAGATCACAGGGCTGAAGCAGAAGAGAGGGGGTAAAGGACAAAAACCCATCAGGAAAGAATGGAATTCTGTGATTAAACCAACCTCTGTACCCACTACATTCCTGTAATGTGCACACACAAAGAGATCATAAAGTAATATGAAACAGGATATTTTAAGAAAGTTCAAAGCTAGTGCATATCCACATGTTCATATTTATAATGAAAAGATCATTTCATCTTGAAGTATGATTTGGAAAGATTACAGGTTTAGTTTTAAATATTGCTTTTTGTAAGTAAATATTTCCTTTTTCTAGTCAGATGGTTTCAGATGAGATCAAATGGAATTACTGAACATTAAGGGAAGATCATTTGACTATGTTGTACCTTATATCTTTGTCTTCTTACTAGAAAAAATATAAAGTCTAACAATTTTTAAAAAATCACTTGATGAGATAGATGAAAAAAGCTATAAAGACAGCTTAGCAGACTCACCAATTACTAGTCATTGCTCAGATGTCTGAGTCCATATACAAAACTTTATTTTGAACCACTGAAAAATGCCACATTCATGAATGCTGACATTAAAATTTGCTGTAAAGTTTGGGAAATTGAATCTATATACCAGAAACAGCTTTGCTTCAACTCTAATCACTTCCCAGACAGATGAAATTCAAGGTAAACATCAAAGTTACCAGATGGTGAGCAATGATATGAATTTAAACCACAGCACCTCCTGTATCCAACTCCATGTTGCAGAATGTAGTGCTATCGACTTCCTTTCCTTCTGAACATCCAGCTGATGGGCTCAGGTTCACTGTGCCATCAGTTGTGAGTGCAGGAACCTTCCTTACATCTCAAACTCATCTCTTGGGGACTACCTTGACTCAAACTTACTTGACTGGAACTTTCCTGACTTAACTGTACACACCCTTCCTTTTCTCCTTCCCCCACTTGGCCTGAAACAACTGCACTTCTGAGGAAGGCAGCTGGTTGAAGTGTTGCTTCTCCACCCTCTATTGTCTGCTCTACTCTGAGCAGCAACACAGGAACAGTAAAACCTACTAACACAAACCTGCTCAGCACCTGTGAGGGTGCTGAGGCCCTGGCACAGGTTACCCAGAGAAGCTGTGGGTGCCCCATCCCTGAAGGTGCTCATGGCCAGGCTGGATGGGTGTCTGAGCAACCTGTGCTAGTGGACAGTGTCCCTGTCCATGACAGAGGTTGGCACCAGAAGATCTTTAAGGTCCCTTAAAATATCCATCCAAATAATTTTATGATCTATGTAAATAAGTGCTTTCTTTAAGTGCAGTAACCAAACTTGTGAGCCTTCAAAAAGCTGACAGCAAGCAACTTGCACATCCTTACACATGCACTCATTGCCCTTACTAAAAGAAGTGCAATCTTTAAAAAAAAAGGGCACAGAGAAATCAGTGCACAGCCGATGAGGTCTAAGATTGCAGTAGCCTTAATTGTGTCTCCTGCTTGAAAATCAATCCTGTTGAAAGTCAGGCTCTGTGAGAACACTGCTTTCAATTAATATGAAGGTAAAGTGCTTTTTCCCTTCAAAACAGTTTTTATATGCATATTTTTAAATGGGTCATATTGTATTTGAGTAAATTCCAGCTATCAGGTTCTTACGGCTCTTGATTATTCATCACTGTAAGGAGCTCCTTCACCAAGTCTTCTTTGGTGAGGTCTTGACTTCTCTTGACCACTTCTGTGAAAAGCTGCTTCCCATACTGAAGTTTCTTCCATGGTGTATCCAACAAAGAATTACTCAATCCATATATTCCTACACAAACACACACAAAAAAGCCCAATTTAATTGGAAAGTGCATTCTGGTGATTTCAGTTGTCGTTACAGATTTTAAAAATTTTAATAAAGTCAAAGTGACTCCCCAGCTAACCTTTACCTTCAGGTGTGCCATAAACACACAAGCCCATTACTGAACAGGAGAATACAGCAGGCTCCCATCTTGTGCTGGGCTGTGCTTAAGCACTCCCCTCATGCTGATGCTCAGTACTTGGTTTTAGTTGTACCATAATTCACATCCACAGCAGTCAGTTTGAATTTCTGGTTTGCTAAACCATGAAGGCACAACAGAATTTTATAATTTCTGCAATCTAGTCTTGTCCAGTGTAGGGATAATAATCATAAGTTATCTTTGTCTCTGATTATACTCTTGAAAAACACTGCAAAGCAGCACTGCATGACAAGAAGGACCCTCCTCTTCAGAAGCACCCTCTCACCACAAGCCAGACAAGAGAGATCACCAAGCATCCTCTCCTCCTAAAGGCAGCCACATACACAGGAGTCTGTTGTCTAAGCACAGAGACCAGAACCATCTTTGGTACAGTCTGCAGATACTAGAATTTGTGACTCAGTTTCTCATTACAACATGGCCAGATTTTAAATTTAAAAAAAAAGTCTGTATTAAAATTTGTTTTATGTACATTTGTAGCTGTACAAAATCTAACAGTTGTTTCCAAGAATTTATGCTGTAATTGCTACAATAACAATTTGCCTACTGGCAGCCACATTTTGACCATTACCCTAAGCAGGCAAAGTGAGGCTCTGCCATCAACTGCTCCCAGCCAGTTACACTGCTCAGAGCCTTCCATGTGCCCTGGTTCCATTCAAACTGCCTTTCTGATGGTGACTTCTGGAGCATTGCTCTCTGCAGCTAGCTAGCAAAGAACTAGATTTAAAATATTTTAAAATCAATTCACCTGATAAGACAGATTATATTTGTTTTCAAAGCCAAATCTGTCCCTGGGGGAGCATAGTCACACTGTGACCTTCAAGCTGCTGGGTAAAGGCAGTTAGGGTCAGACCCTTTGAAAATTCCATTCTCAAGACAGACTTCTGTTCTTCTGCCATAATTACCTAAGCAGGATTCCACTAATTGCACTGCAGGTGGGTACATACACTGGCATGGATAGAAACTTTTAATGAACTATTGATTCTTTACTGCAAGTTATTAACAAAAACTTAAATGAATTCAAGGACATTTAGTAATATTTTCTTTTAAAGAATGCAAAGAAAAAGTAAGTGAAGACAATGCTTAAGTAGCTAAATTACTAGAACAATACAGAGCTACATAAGAAAAAGTAATCTGACCTTTCTGAAGAAAACCTACCAGCATTTAGGAAAACAGGTTCTGGTTCTCCTCTGTTTCCATAGTAGCAAATTACATCTCCTTTGGTGGTACTGAAAAATATAAATACAAATTTCTCCTTGAAAAGCCATCAGCTTCTATATTTGATTATGCTTTAATTTCATGCAATCTTTGAGCACATTAAGATGCTTCTCCCACTGTTGCTCCTATGATACCAGACATTGATGTGTTTTATTACTTTCCTCCTCTCAAAACACTGCACCATTATCAGGAAGTAGCATTAGCATTTTTAAACATAACTGCAGTAAAATTCAGTAAAACCCCATAACTTCTGCATGGAAGCAGCCAGGCTTAATGACAAAAACCTGGTCTTGATTAACGGGAGATTTAGTTGCTTGGGAGAAGGGGGCATGTGAAAACAAAGGAACTGTCCATCACAGCAAGTACCCTTTTCCCCATCACTTCTTTGAATCCCTCCTGCATTCTAAGCCACTGATTGCTGTGGGCCACCTCAGATGGCAGAAGTGCATTTCAGGCCCACTTCCAGCAATGCTGCAGGGCACGGCTGGGTCCTTTGTGCATTTCTTGGCCTTTTCAGATCCCTGTAGTCACTGAATCTCTCTAATTGTAGGCACTGGCTGCAGCACTCACTCTCTCTTGTGCTCAGAGTACAGGGAGGGTCTTGCACAAGGTTCAGAGACATTCCAACATTGCAAACAACTCTTATTTGACAGAGATGGTATCAGCATATCCAAACAGCAGGGATCCACACAGTCACACTGATACTGACAACACAAACACCAAACCAACTGATAAGGGAAAAAAAGAGAAAGTAAGTCATCAATAAGCCTTGTGTGTCCTG